GTTTTAGCGCGTTGTCGCAGTTGCGTGGTTTTCAAAATGTTATTGCCAGTGTGTCATACCAGATATCTGTCAGGACATAAGGTAGTCACTTGCTGTCTTGCACACACTGATGTTGCTGCAGGTAGCTATGTGGCCGTAAGGCTTGTTGTATGCATTCAGGCGAATTCCATCTTGTCTTCTAACAGTAAATCCTTGTTCACCTGACTCCACCTCACTTACTGTGTCAGTGCTATGGTAATTACAGGTTTTGCTTTGATTTTAGTGTAAGGTTTTGCTGCTAAGTGCGTCCTTGAGATTCCTACCCAAGTTAAACAAGGTCAGTCCCACAGCAGAAGTAGTTCTGATAACGCACATCACACGCTTGAACAAGAAAGTTGTTAAAACTCGGTAAATGGTGAGTGATTTGTTTTGAACATTTTCATGTGAACAAAAACATTTGTTCACATTAAAATGAAATGGGTTTTGAGGCAAAGCTAAGAACCCGTCTAATTATTCTTGCGGTTTTGCTACAAAACTCATAAGAACAAGCTAAGGTTCTTTTCATAATAATGTAAACAGTGTCACAACATGGTTTGGGTATTTTGACACCGTTCCGCACTATTTGATCCATTCAGTACAAGCCTAACCTGTTTACTGCTAGCCAAGAAAAAGAAGCCGCACTGACAGAATGGCTGTAACCAGCTGTAGTATTATGGTGTGTTTTTAAATCCATCAGGATATTCATCTTTGTCACCTTATGCACAGAAAAGTGATTGATGGACAAGTCAGATTCAGCTACTGGAGGACATCCAGAAATGATTTAGATCCTCTGAACAAGGACAAGGCCTTTCTGATATATTTTCTTTATTAAAGTGGCACATGTGACCCAGATACTTAATGTTCAGATTTTATTAAAAAAATAAAACATATATTTGAAGTATTTATTTTTGCAAAGAAGAAATAGTCAGGACCAAGGACAAAAAAACAATTAGAAATGCACAAAGAATCAAATCCAATGGAAAACAGAGATGTAACGAAAACGTCAAAATACAAATCCAATGAAGACAAGATTAAGTGGCTGAGTAATATTGACTCATCAGCTGCTGCGTGATGTACAATCATATCACAGTTTGCTTGACAAGTGTAAACCACATAATACAGAAGAGGTCTCCTAATTTCAGTTTCACCCTTCTTTAAGTTTCCCCATTAGTTGTGACAGGTAATTGGCAGGACCACTCTCTGGGCGTTGCATCTGTTTCCCAGGCAGCAGCTCAACAAAACACGGCCTTGCACACCACCATTACCATTCTCAACACTCTTATTGAATTATAGGAGTGAAAGAGAAAAGGGGAGATTGTCAGTTATCTCAGTGAGGCATGTTTTGCTCAAGGCTACGATGTCTCTGTTCTTCCCCTGCTTCTATTACTCAGCAGCAAGAAGCAAAAAAAAAGGTGGGATTGAATGCTTATCGCAAACAAACTCTTTCCCTCATCTCCCAAAAATAAATGTTGTTGTCCAGGCATTACAGTGCAGCAGGTTAAGGAGACCCAAGAGTACACATCAAAGGGGAATTTGTAATACAAAAGGTGGAGGCAATGTAACTGTCACCCATGTGAACAATTAACCAGCAGAGTGCCATAAAGACACTATAAAGAAACACGCTTTTGTTTCCAGAAGTGTGAAGATTTCTATTTGCAATAGGACTCGAGGGAGAAGGTAGAACTAACTTTCTTTATGACAAAGAATCAACATTAAGATTGGATGTGCTTCCAGCCTTTGTCGGGGTTTAAAAAAAAAAAAAAACGTTTTATCTAGAAAACTATGAAGGCAGGCTTTAGATCAGGGGTATTCAATTATATTTCGAAGAGGTCCAGTTGATGGATGTATAATAAGAACTGGATACAGCGAGGGAGGCGGGGTCTCGTTCTTTCCTATGAGAGCTGCTCATTGGCGCAGGAAGACAAAATGGCCCAACTTTTGAGAGAGTGAAACGTCACAGATTACCCTTCATGCCTGGCTGTCAGAGCAGAAGAACCCGTATGTGCACTCACAGAGCATGCACCCCTTAAGCCCCGCCTCCCGAGCTCCCACTCTCGGCTCAGTAGAATGAATGGAGAGAGAAAATAAATCTAGATTCGGCTTTTAGTGCATTTTACAACTTTAAGGACCGAATGATTCTAATAAGGGCTATAAAATGTTTCATACTGGGTAGTTTATTTAGTTACAAAAACAATTATCCACTGATTTACAGATGTCTCTTTCCCAATGTTAGTCAATGGGAAAAAGTTGTTTTGGGCCGGGTGACGTCACGGACTGATACGGAAATTGCAGTACCGCCGTTTGGACACAACGAATATTGGCACAGAGTCCGGCGCACTTCCTGGGGGCTTGGTCCAGTTACTAACATTTTCTCCCTGCAAAGGTCCAAACCTCATAATGTCTTAATAGCATCCAATAGCTCACCATTTTGTCCGTCAAATAAAATCAACACCGTATCACCGTATTTCCTTATCTTTTTAATGTTCCAAGTATGATACTTTTACACATTGTGGCACTTGTATGGAAACCAAACAGGACCAAAAAATGCAAACAGTTTTGAGCAGCCCCTTTTTTCTCTTCACAGTTTTTCTACTTCACCTCGTTTCTTTTTTTAACACAACCATTTCCTACATTTCAAGTAAAATAGAACAGGCACAAATGTAAAATAGAACAGGCACAAAGATTTCCAGCAAAATAGAACAGGCACAAATGTAAAAAAAAAACTATGGAGGCAGGCTTTAGATTATTGCTGCAGAGGTCTACCACCAATACATCTTTCACCATTTCTGTTGTCAAGGTCCATTTGTGACCATTTCATCAGCAGCCAGGCTGACACCTATAGCTGATGGAATGATGTAACTGTAGACACAGGCTTTAGTTTAATAATCCTGAATGGCGAACTGGTCTTGGTGTAATCACCTCATTGTCTGATGGCTTGCACATTATTTTTCAAGGAATTTGGCATGAGTTCGCCGAAAGAAAGCTTCAGTTTAGCGGCTGTTTGATGTGTGTTTCTCTCAAAGGGAACAAGTGGAGTTTATGACCACCAGGAGTGTTTTTCTTGACTGAGTCCTCACCTTGTTTTTACAAGAAAAGAGGTACCAAAGTTATTTTAAGGAATTCCTCAAATACTTCTTATATTATCAATGTCTATTGAAAACCTGGAATTTAGCTTAGGTCAAATATAGGCTGTGGATTCTTTGCATGGTTTTGAGTTTAAAAAATGTTCATTACATATAAAACTGAAATACTGTAGCTCTTCTGGATAGTTAATAATAATAATAATAATAATAGATGTGATCTGTATAGCGCCTTTCCTTATGCTCAAAGACGCTTCACATAAAACCATTATTAGTTCATTATGAACACAGTGTTACTTAACAGTGCATTAGTGTTGCCACTTATCCTATTACTATACAGCTACTCTTGAACTATACATTACTTTTCTCAACAACCAGACTAACTCATTACAAAACTCATATGATATGAAGCTTTAGAGCGGCCTCTGCTTCATCTCCAAGTTATTTTCACTTTGATGCATCACTAAGCAACAGGGAGAAAAACTAAAAGGGAAATGTTAATAACTTAATTGAGACACTTGACTTTTATTACATTGATGTTGAATAGCTGCTTGCACCAGGTGTGTGCTTTCTGGCTAAAAACATTCTCCTATACACACACGCTTAAACTTAAAGGCTTAATACAGGAGTAATGTACTCCACCCCCACCATGTCTGTCATAGCCTTTTATATTCGGGAGGATCCTGCATTGCACACACAATGAAATGCATGCATTCATATGGCATGGAAACACGGCTCAGCCTCAAGGCTTTGTGGTTGCTTAGCTGCCCACCTACTCACCTGTACCCACCCATCTTCACCTGTTTAGATGCTTAAGATCAAAACAGACCTGAAAGTAATTGCATTATCATCAGGTTCTGTACAGTTGCAAAAGCTGGTTGCGTGGTTAAGTCCCTCGTCACGAGAACAACAGTGGGCCGGGGATCCTGCCCAAGCTTGATCTGCTATGTCTTCAATCTGTTGTCTCCATCTCAACTTTCCCACTTCCAGAGACTGCCGGCACTTTGGGCCTGGTTGCCTGACTAATCAAATAAAGTAAATAAAGAACAAATTAAATAACAGAGGTACCTGAGGGCAAGAATTGTGACGAACTGTTTTGATTGGCCTGAAAAACTCCTTCAATTATGAAAAAAATATGTTTCTTATAATCCAGAAGATGCTTAATAATATTTAGGTTTGTTTCGACTTTTCTTCAGTATCAAACAACTCCAGTGATAGGTGATTGCACATCCATGGGTACACAGTAAACAGAAAAAGCTAATGGCTAATTTAGCATACTTTAAATGGTGCCACTTTGCCAAGATGTTCACAAATATTAGTTGGCAATCAAAATATTAACTGTGACCATGGCAGCTTTCATTGTCAGAGGATCCATTATGTCAGTAGGGTTTATCCTCTTGGCACCATACAAATCTGTACCAAATGTCATGGCCATCCATCCAAGAGTTGTTGAACAATTTTATCTTAGTGCTAGATAAAAAGTGGGGATCACCAAAGTCATAATTGGACCATGGATGTTTGTACAAACTTTAATAGCAATGCATCCCATAGTTCTTGAGATATTCAGTCCGGACCACAGTGGTGGACCAAGACACGCTTGAGAGAGCAGTTCTAATCCTGCCAATTTATTCACCTCCAAAACATCTGGCTGTGTGAAGTGGGAGGTCTACCAGAAGTGGATGCTTGTTGGTTTAATATTGGTCAGAGGCAGTTTTTTAAACTTGAACAGGTTTCATCCAACAATCACAACAACATGCACAACAGCATGTCTACGGTTAAACGAACGTTATGTCGGGAAACATCTTAACATGTTGGTGTTAAATGAGTCTATACAGTTTATTTCCTGACCTATTAACCCCCATTCTTCTTTGTTTATCCCTCTGTTTATCCCCCCCCCCTCAGCTCTTGGAGTATGTTGGCAAGGGAAAGAGCATCATGGACGTGGGTTTGGCTCAGGCCCGCCAGCCACTCACCACCCGCTGCCACTACTACGAAGTGGAGATTGTTGATGCTGGAGAGAAGTGTTACATTGCCCTGGGCCTGGCGAGAAAGGTGACTTTATACTATTTCTCACACACACACACACTTACTTTCAACAAAGAAGAATGTTTTGGTTTTTTTCTCAAACCTTTGGCCTATTCCTCCATTCTTCCACATCATTATTCATTAGAAAGTCTAGGATCAAGAACTCAAGGGATGTGGACTGCAGGAATAAGCAGCACATTCACTTTACTCCCCCTTTGGTCTCCATAGTTCAATAAGTCATTGAGCTAACAACATGCATATGACATTAACCCAAATTGAAGTAAGGAGGACCAATAGCTTTTGTCCCGTCAAGCCCTGTCTTGGGAAAGGCTTGGCCTCATGGAGGAGAGGCAGCACTACAGTCGTGTTTGCAGCAAATCTCCAGTGTTTCTTTGTTTTTCAAAGCAAATGTCTGTCATGTCATAATGTATGTGTGCTGATGAGGCGGAAGAAGGTGCATATTGGAGATAGTGTCACAAATGTCAATTTTGATTTTAAATCGGGCCTTAGACTGCTGCCATGGTTCGGACTCAGGTTTATTTTTTGGTCCATGGTTCGGACTCAGGTTTATTTTTTGGTCCAAATTATGGCTCAAACACGGACACAGGATATAGAGAAAACAGTGTATGGAAAAAAAACGGATGATTTTTTGTTAAATGAATCCTACTATTCACCTTATGTAACCCCGCCCCTCTCCTACTTCTGGTTCAAACCCATACAGTATGTGTTAGTTATTCCGGTTAAGCAATAGCAACATTGTACACAATTCTTTTTATTCGAGATCATTCACAGCTAACCTGTCCGGCAGTGGCTCAGTCAGTAGGGGCTTGGACTGGGAGCTGTAGGGTCGCCGGTTCAAGTCCCCGACCAGACCTAAAATATGGAGTGTGGACTGCTACTTGGAGAGGTCCCAGTTCACCTCCTGCCCTGCCGTGGTGCCCTTGAGCAAGGCACCGGACACCCCCCTTCCCCCCTCACTCCCATTGCTCCCCGGGCGCTGTGCAATAGCTGCCCACTGCTCCTAGTACTAGACTCCTGGTACTAGGATGGGTTAAAAGCAGAGGCCAAATGTCACTGTGTGTGCTGTGTGCTCTGCATGTGTGACCATTAAAGAGGGGTTTCATCCCTCCTATACAAAAAAAAAAAAGTGTGCTATTAAGATAGCTAAGAATCTATCTAATAATCTGGCTAGCAGATATTGTCTCTCATACAGCCAACAGCTCCTCACAGCTCCAAACATCACCGTAAATTCTCAAATATACGTTTTTTGGGATAAAATAATCACATAATCAAAATAGTGAGTTGCTTGCCTGAAAAACTGTTGTAACTTAATCAGGTTGTTCAAAAGCTTACTTACAGATACTTTGGCAAGGAAAGGTTGATAAAGCTGGCTACGCTATGCAAATGAATAGCAATTACACCTTAACCGGAAGTACCAACACATACTATGGCATTAAGGAAGCGCCCTACAAGCACAAGGTGAATAAGTAAAAATAGCGGTTCTGTCGACAGCTTTATTTTCTTTCCCATAGTCCAGCAGCTCAGCCATTCTCTTTGGATGTAATGGCTCGCTCTCAAGTAGATGAAACACCTCTAAGAGGAAAATACAATTAGAGAAATTTTACCACCTCTCATTTGTGCCCCTATTTCTTTTTCCAAAGAATGCACATGAGGTTCCCATTTGAGCATCAGCACTGCAGCTCTGCAAGTGACTATTACTAACTGCTTTGAAGAATTTAAAAGACAATCTTGAAGAACTGGGCTTGGGAACTGAGTGATTCATATTAAGACTTGCAGAGAGTGAATAAAAGAAGAGTTATATCTCACTATATTTCCATACAAAGCTTCAAGGGTGTTAAGTGTAAGCAGCAATTGTTGAGGATTGTGCAAGGCTGTTTTGAATCCCCCTTACTTAACTTGGCAGTATTAAACTTGCACTTAATGTCTCTCTGGTGGAAAGGTTCCCTCAAAACCTTTTTTTCATTACATTTGTTACCTAATATTATTTGACTGACTCAGGAACTATTTCCTCGACAGTATGGGTTCATGATTTGTGAGTTTCTTACTCCCCTGCTTCCCCTCGAAAGTGTTATGGATGTGAAATATTAGCGACTGCCAAAGCCAAGGCCTGTGGAGAGCTGCCAGCGCTGTCTCTCCCAGGGTCAAAGCTTTGCTCCGTTTTAATAACAAAAATAAAAGATAAAACTTGTTCAACATCTCTCAAGGTCTCAGAGGCCATTTATATAAAGCAGGAACAGAGGGATGCACAGCTCGCTGGATGACATTAAGATAAAGAACGCTATAGAGAAAGGAGACTCAGCTGGAGATATTTACTTACCCGGTGTTTGTGCTGTACTAACAGGTTTCCAACAGAGCCATGCCATTTTTGATTATTGGTCAAAATCTAAATGTAAGTATCCTTTTTGTGGACAGTCTCACTGGTTAACCGAGTGTGCCTGACATATATAATATATCAGTAATACTGGTAGTATAACCATCTTCATAGAGATTTTGTTTACCCAACCAGCTGGAGAAGGAAGTGTAACCCATACGTTACATTAAAAGCCACATTTATGGTGTTGCGCCTAATGATTTGCATTTTTTCCTATGTTTGAAAGAGGATTAAACAGTTTTTCAACATATTTGTGGAAACTTCTGGGTGGGCAATTCCCCTGTCAGTGAAGGAATGACATCTCAGAGCTGGAGTTGCTTGAAGACGAGAGCATATTTGATATCTATTCCTTTTTCAATTCAACCCACATAACATTGATTATGTAACGTTAGTGATTGCCACATCAAACATATGGGAGACCCTTTGTAATAAGCATTATTTGTATAGCACATTTCATACACTAGGTGCAGCTCAAAGTGCTTTCACCACATGGCACACGCATCACAAATCAAAACAAGAGAGCAAGAAATTCAAAAACAACTTTTTGCACACATGCAGCATGAAAACCATACAACCATTAAAGAAACACAAGGAGGTAGAAAAGGTATGAAAACAACACATTTAAATCAAATAAATAATAATCAAAAGACATAGGAAATAATAAATAAATACAATGAAATATTAAAAACTATAAAATTAAATAAATTAAAAAAAAAAGTAAATAATTAAAATTCCAATGAAAAGGGATGTTGCTAATAAAAAAAAAAAACACTTAGTTTGCCTCTCTATTCTCTACTTTAGACACTTTTAAAAAACCTGCTGAAGAGGACCTTAGGGCTCGTCCAGGGACATCAAACGACAGAGAATCAGTGAGATATGAGGGTGCCAAACCCTTCAGACCTTTACACATGTAACATTGTTTGTATTCATGAAGAAAGCAAAAGCTAGCAAGGCAAGTTTATTTATATAGCACATTTCAACACAAGGCAATTCAAAGTGCTTTACAAAAATGAAAGACATTAAGAAACATATTATAAAATGATATTTAAAAACACTCATTTCAAAGCAAAAATACATGAATAAAAGTGACAGTGCAGTGTGAGATACCACATCTGAAATGTTTAGGTCTGACTCTCAATCATTGCTAACTTTTTAGCAGATTTAGTTTTCTATCACCTCCCTTTCTTTCTACTTTCTTTGTTAACTTGTCCTTTAGTTATTTCAAGTGTTTCATGCTAAACGAACCCCCTTTTGGAAAATGATAATCTGACCCCATGGTACCTTTTAGTTTTCGCCGAAACTATTCCTCTTTTTTATTTTTAAATGCACATTAGTTAAAGGTCCCATGTCATGCTTTTCCAGTTATTACCCGTCCCCTTGTGTGTTATGAAGGTTTTTATGCACGTAAACGGTCTGCAGAGTCACAAACCCTCAAAGTACACCCTGTAACTAGTAAAACTCTAACACAGAAAAGACCTGTCTATGCTGCCCCAAAACGCCTCGTTGGAGATTTCTCTTTTTCCATTGTTTTCTTTCTGGGTACAGTGACGTGCCCATACCCAAATGGACCAATCGGCCAATCCGCGGACTTCCTCACACACACACACTCAATCTTTTCTCAGCTGCAGCTCCGCCAATTTCTCCTCCCTGAGATGGCGGGACGCGACGAGGCTGTGAGTCGGTGTGTGAGCACACACACAAACTCCCAGCCAGGCTGCGTGTGTGCTCGGGCTGGTTCCGGGCTGGTTTCGGGCTGGGTTTCGCTGTGTCTCGCTGTCTCGCAGACGGCCACTGGGCTCACAGGGAGCAGGAGCTCCAACAAGCCGTTTAGGACAGAGAGTGAATACACATACTATATAGAGATGCTGTATGAGAAACCAATGTGAGTTTGGAAAATTGCACAATATAAATCTATTCTAGTAGACCTCAACAATGGAATTATGATCAGTAGAAATGGCCATGACATGGGACCTTTAAGTTTACCTTGTCTTTCTAGGACTTTTTTGGTATCCTCCGTGAACCAGGGTCTTGAACCCAAAACGGATTCCTGTACCCCATGGTACCTTTTTAGTTTTCGCCCAACCTATTCCTAAGCTTAATGAAATTAGAACAGTGACGTAAGATTTTCATTGTCATAACTACACTATGCACAAGTGACAATATCCATCTGTTATTCATCTCTTCATGGGTCCAGTTGCTTTCACAGTAAATGAACAGACTATTGAAATTCCCAGGAACTCTCTGCCCTCTGTGTCATGCTTTCAATTCAGAGCAACTCAAAGGCTGAGTCACAAAGACAAAGCACAAATTCCAGATAAAACTAGATCGGCACACACAGTGAGCGCAGACATCCGCCAGGGCTAATGGTGCGTTCACTTGCTTCTTAGATGGCCCCATTTGGACCGTCATTCCTCGACATCTGTGTTTTGAATGGGCTTAATGTGGAACAAACATGGATGCTACATAGAAAATGTGTTTTATAGTATTGCCTAAAAGCTTTTAAACAACATGCTGATTTCTGTTTGAAAAGATGGGGCCTTTCACTTTATAATTATTTGTTCTGATTATTCTGACGCAACATAAATGCAACACAAATCAAAGTCAAGTCAAAGTCAACTTTATTGTCAATCTTCTG